TTGCATAATGCCGCCCAAATGTTCACGCAAAGAAAGAAGGCGTAACTTTTATTCTCGCTGTAGTGTTGTTGCCGCCGCCGCCATGTCGTGAAGGCCTTCCAAAAGAGGACGATATCCGCTTCGTCATGCCTAGAGCTGATCCGTGCTTTTCGCTGAGGAAAGACATCAACTTCGCGCTGTGGATCGCCAGATCGGCTTTCACCGTGGATGAAGCGGAGTCCAGCTCGGGGTCGTCACATGTGGTTGCCGCAAGCTCGCCGGCCACTCCTTCGTCGAATCCGCCGGCTGCGCCGTTCTCAAGCCCGCCGCCTCTGCTCACTCTAGCCCGCCTTGATCCTGGTAGAGTAGACTACAATGCCGGCTGTTCTGACTCACAGAACATATTTAAAGGATTTTCCATTAATGATTCAAACGTGAGTTTTGAGCAGTGTAGAGTAGCGCTTGTTGTTTGTCATTTCCCCAGTCACAAATGTAGACATGGTTTTATGTTTACGCAGCGCGATGCAATGCAATGCATAAAAAGACAGTATACAGGTGCATCTCAATAAATTAGAATGTCATGGAAAAGTTCATTTATTTTAGTAATTCAACTCAAATTGTGAAACTCGTGTATTAAATAAATTCAATGCACACAGACTGAATTAGTTTAAGTCTTTGGTTCTTTTAATTGTCATGATTTTGGCTCACATTTAACAAAAAAACACCAATTCACTATCTCAACAAATTAGAATATGGTGACATGCCAATCAGCTAATCAACTCAAAACAACTGCAAAATGGTCTCTCAGTTTGGTTCACTAGGCTACATAATCATGGGGAAGACTGCTGATCTGACAGTTGTCCAGAAGACAATCATTGACACCCTTCACAAGGAGGGTAAGCCACAAACATTCATTGCCAAAGAAGCTGGCTGTTCACAGAGTGCTGTATCCAAGCATGTTAACAGAAAGTTGAGTGGAAGGAAAAAGTGTGGAAGAAAAAGATGCACAACCAACCGAGAGAACCGCAGCCTTATGAGGATTGTCAAGCAAAATCGATTCAAGAATTTGCACAGCACAATTTGCGACGTTCGAATTGTGAAGAAATTACTCTTACGAATTGGTTATTTTTCAGGTATGTGTGCTTCAAGAAAAAATTTTTTATTTTATATAATTTATTTTGGAGGCTTACATCAGTCTTTTTATTGGCATTGTTCATATGACAATGTTTAACTGTGTACCCAGTAATCAGTAATAGTCATCATGTCATAGCAACGAAAAGCAGTGATTGAAAACCTAACCATCTTTATCAAGTGATTTTGTCATTTGTCAGCTTAAAAATAAGTTATTTGGCTTTAATTAGAAGCCAGTGGCTCCCTCAATTTTTGTTTATTTGTTTAAAGCCCTGTTAATTTCATCCACTTTATGATTTCAGAATTGTATATTAAGACTGTATTTTATGGCTTCTTTTGCAAACGTACACTTCTTTATGGTAGTGTTGAGTTTTGACTTGTGCCATGCTGGCTCAGACACTGTAGGGAGAAGCATGTGTCTAACCACTAGTAATTGGCAGGGTGACCTGCAGCAGGACCTGTGAATGAAACCCATGGAGCGGGACAATAGGTCAGTCCCCAAGGAGCTGCCCCTAGAGCAGCCATAACGCACTCACACTCTCTCTCCACTGCCCAGACAACAGACAACAGCCGTAATGAACTTATCAGCCATCATAGCTGACAGCTGACATCTATATTTACCAGCCATCACTCTCTATATAATATTCATGCTGCACTATGCCGATACCACTTAACTGGTCAGTGCTTTGGCCCTATTAACATTTACCATTCCCAGCATAATTGTGTGTGTGACATTGCTGTGTTGTGCTGTGCTGTCTTACGGTCTCAGTCAAGTCTAGTAGTCATGTCAGGAGAGACTTCATTACAGCTGGCTGTGGTATACACTGTCCATGTCCAGACAAGATTTCTCTAATGAGCAGATCACACTAATATAAACATAGACACACACACTTATGGACACAGGACTCAACAACAAAGACCTCTGGTACACGGGAGAGAGGCCATTACAGGCAACCAAAAATAACAGACACACACACCCCATATAATTAATTTGATAATATAATTTAAATAATATGGCGTATATAGTCTCTTATGCTTATCAAGGCTGCATTTATTTAATCTAATATTGTGAAATATTAATATACAATAATGATATAATATAAAATAACGTTTCAATTTTAATATTTTAAAATGTAAGTTATTCCTGTAATGGCGAAGCTGAATTTTCAGCAGTCATTACTCCAGTCTGTAGTGTCACCCAAAAAGTATGGGGACCTTGTGTCTATGTGGACGTCCCACAGGATGTTTTGTTGTTCTTTGGTCTGTCTTTCTAGTCTGGCTGTTAAAGCTAAATAGTTTTGAGAGCGTTAGTTATGCCATTGTATTAATTTTGTGCCCAGGTGCTTTAGATCTCCCTCTCTACAATCTTTACTTCCGAGGAGAACTTTGGTTTTAACGCTGACCTAGCTGACGGTTCACTTCTGCTGAGGCATATATCACATTTATGACATGTCTTTTAGTATGTGTGAAAATAGTGACATTCTATACTGTATATAATATAAACACCTTTGCGTATATCTGTATACATGCTTCATATCGCCTGTAGGGGTCCCTGTGGAGCGCTCGGGGACCAAAAGAACAATAACTGCTATCTCATAGCCGCTCTAAGCCCTGGGGGTAGAGTGTGTCGTGTGTCACCATGAGGTAGGTGTGTGTTGGATCCTTAAGCAGCCCCACGGGGCCAAGCGCCGCTTCATTCATTCGCCGAGTTATTGATTAGATAAACAGTCACTAGTTTTACATCAGGCCCCCGCTGCTGTCTACGAGCCTTTTATTGACGACAGTGGGAAATTTGTTCAGCCGGTCTCAAGCTAACCAGCCTACCTGCCGCCTCTCTTGACAGGATAAATCTCAGATTCATGCTTCGGGATGCTTGAAACACTCCGAGCAATTCACACAGTTCCTGTTTATCATTGTAGTCGAGATGTTTATTTCTGCCCTTTTTTCTTTATTCTGTATTGGTCTTGGGAGGAAAGGCTTTTTAAATACACAGAGTGATAAGTTCTTTTAAATGTTTTTCAGGCCTCCCAAGAAACTCACGGCGAAGGAGCGCGTGTCAAACCTAATGCGCTCCGAGTACCTCAGTGGGATAGATGGAGAATCCAAGTCTAAGAAGAAGAGGAAAAAGAAGAAAGGTCAAGCAGAAGAAGAGCAATCTACTGCAGCATAAAGAGGAAGACTTCGTAGAGATCGGAGACTCTTTTCGGCTGAGATGTGCTGAGTTTGGAGTCCTTTGCAGCCAGGTGGCTTCTCGAGATTGAACACAGGTGTTTTTTACACAGAGTGACATTTTTTACCTGTAACAAAGCAAGAATGGTCGGCAGCGTGGTCTGAAAACCTACTTTTACCATCTGCATCAAAAAAAGCTTTGATACAAATGGTAAAATGGGCGTATTAGGGCGAAGTCCACATGGAATGTTTTATTGCTCACGGTCAGTTGATCTGTGAATTTATTATTATAAATGTGGTGCCATGAATATGACTGTTTAAGCAATGTGATTTACAGGAAAGCAAGCGGATTCATCAAAATGTTGTAATACAGTCACTACATTTTATATTAAAGTAGGTTGTATTTAATAGGTGTGTTTGGTTCATTTCATCTGATTTTGGGCTCTCCACAGGATTGAATCAGAAGTGTTTCAGAATCACTGGCGACCAAACCTGGCATGCCTTTCATGTTGTTCACAAGGTTATGAGAACACCGCTTAAAATAGTCTTTGTTAAAAGCTTTTTAGCTCTTTCCCCTGGCTTGAATTTCGGCTTGGTCAGGTAAATAGGGGTGGATATGTATGGAGGCTTACGCTGACCAGCTGTCTGAGCGTTGAGTCTGACTCCGGTCACCAGCTGCTGTCTTTTGGCCGAGTCTTCGCTGCAGCGCTAAAAGAAATTTGACCGGAATATTGCGTTTCACGGTCCTTTTATTACTGCAAAAGCCACTTGTAAAAATGTTATTGGTCTGTAATAATGAAACGCCTATTATGATTGGTCAATTAAACCCACACAACAAACCACTTACCCAGATACGCTCGTTTCGATGTGACTGGGCTTCTCTGTACGAAGCTCTAGTGAAGAGACCTCACAAAAGGTTTCCGTTGGCAGTAATGTATATGCTTATGTTAATTAAAAACGTAAATGCAGAGTGATGGGAGAACATGTCACAATATGAGCGTAGGAAACAGACGGAAAATATATTTGTATTGTGTATACTGCGTTCACGGGCTGATGGTTTGATGTCCAGTTGAAGCTGTATGCAGTTATAAAAATAACAGTTTTTTGTGTGTATAATTTTTTTTGCTAATTTTAAAGCCCATTTTATGCACAATATATTCACAACCGTTATGCAAAACGTGTTTGACCAAGAGAATATGTAAGAATAAAGTACTTCCGTCATATGTGACAAATTCACAGTCTTTATTCAGAAATGATTCTGGCGTCTGTTGAACCGGGTGGAAACTACCCATAAACACAACAATTTCCACAAAAACGGATGAATTGTCTGAACAGGTTGTAGTGCCGTTAATCATTTTTGCGCTGATCTGTGCATTTTAATTGAAGAACTGTTTTTGTAATTTTTTTGGTAAAATGCTCAGCCATCACAATAATCGGTGACCAATTACATTTGTTAATTGTTATTATTGGTGGTGTTTTGGTTTTATTCTTTTTGTGCTTGCATTTTTATCATTAGGTAGACAAAAATCCACAACTATTGCATATATGGTTCAACTTAATTGTTTTTTTTTTTTTTACCCTGTTTTTTTTGGTTTGCTTGCGTCATAATTTTGTGCAAATAAACCACGCCATTTCTTAGGGGAAAAGCACCTTCTTTCAGAAACCCGTAAAGATCGGTTCATGAGGTGATGGAACCTCATCAAATAATTGTCTGATGATAACTTCTTCTGGACGGTAAAGTTTAATAAATATTTAGAATTCACCTTTTGGTCAGAGTCATTTGGAAAGTCTATTATTGCGAGTTTATATTTTCAGCATATTGTCCAAGCCTAACCCTGTCGTTCCTGAGGTTTGAGTTTTTTGTCAGCTTGAATCGGTTCATCGCGGTATCACTCCAGGGAGAGATGCTGGGTCTCCGCTGCCCTGAAGACCGTGCAGGAGGATCCTCGGGACCAAAGGCCGCTGAACCGGTGGTGGTCTGTACAGATACAACCCTGGTCCCGGGTCGAGGTTAGACACCAGACTTTGGGGGTAAAAATAGGGTGATGGGAACATTCTCTGTAGAGCGGAGTAATTCCCTGCTTCTGCGAGGAGCTCCAGCCCAACCGCTGTCTGCCGTTTCCACTTCGTTCTGTTTAGAAACAAAAAACGTGGGGCCTCATTAATTTACAATATAATGTTAATGTTTTTTTTATATCTAAATATTCTCATAAAATTGCTGACATTCTTGAAAACGTTCCCGTATAGCTTAGCATTATATATACTGTTGTTGTTGTTGTTGTTAATTTTTTATATATATATATATATAGTCCATCAAATCAAAGTGTGGCATAACTAACGTGCAGAAAGCCATTTTGTTGTCATGTGACACTAAACCATAAAACAAAGACGACCCCTTAAGGTGTGTCAGTCTTTAAGATTTAGGTTTTTATTTATTTATTCGCATACTTTGACATTTTAATGAAAGGGAACGTTTTGTTCAGGTCAAATAAAGGAACTCAAAGAAAACCTCGTGATTTGAAAATCTCTTAAGGTGCAAGGAGAATATTTAGTAGGCTAGCCTACTTTTTCTTCTTCTTTGTAGAAAGGGGTAGGCTATAAATTCATTTCAAAAATGCCTTAAAGCAACATGGATACAATTACGAATAGTGGCTTTTTCCAACATCGCCTTAATGCAATCAGAGCTGTGGATATTATTAATAATAAATAAACAAACAAACTGTAATCAAATATTTGACGCTTAATGGAAAGTTTTTGTTCGTCGAGGATGAATCCGTGTAATATCCTGTAGAACACTCATCCGTCAAATTGTCACTCAGCAAAGAGCCATTTCAGATAAATAATTAATAATTTTGGCAATTGTTTAATTACTACGCGGAAGCTAAATTATTGATACACGATGCATTATTGATCTAAATGTGTTGGACTCGTGGTGTGCGAGGTTGTATATGCACAACTTTTTCCCGTTGTGGTTTCATTTTTTGACAGCATGACAAACAACGCACAACTGCTACAAACAATTCTTTGACAGCATAATATTGATATTAAAAGATTTCAGAAATATAAAACCTTTCGTAGGGATTTCGTTGAAAAGCTTTCCATTTAAAACGCCTTTTAGCTGCATCTTTGTCAGTATGCAAGCGTGTGTGAGGTTTCGCAGGATGCTTGCATTCACCTGCGGTTTTGGTACCATGTTTTGACCTGTGTGTCGGTGAGGCTGAGAGACGCTGCCAGCTCCATCCTGTCCTGCACGCTCAGGTACTTCTGACGCTCGAAGCTGCGCTCGAGCTGCGCCAGCTGGTGATCCGTGAACGCAGTGCGGGCTTTACGAGGCTTCTTCAGCCGGGAGCTGGGACTGTCTCTGCTGCTGGACATTTCTCGATCAGCTTCGTCTTTCACTGAAAACCCCCATGCACATATTTAGATCATAAACATTTGTCATTTTGACAGCTATTGACTCTATTCTGACTAGAGCTCACTCACGTTTGTTATATTGCCTATTTCACATTAGTAAATTCTGATATTTCCATTATTTAAAAATTAGACCGGCGTTTAAACAGCACTTAGCACTTTTAGCTAATATTATTTTTTCTATAATATTGCATTCAAATAATTCAAACAACCGCTCAACTGAGCGCCAATGAGAACTTAAGACGCTCTCATTATGTTAGCCTACAGATCTGATCATCAGATGGACAAATTCAGAACCCAAATTGTTTAATGAAACATTTACTGGCAGTTAATTGTGAGCTCACAGACTCCCTCAATGGACAGACTCCCTCAATGGACATTTGATTTGAAACCATTATACATTTTGAATAGATGACCTCCAAAACAGGTATTTCTTATTTAAATACCCTGTTTCGATTGCAAATGAATTTAACGATTTATTGTATTGAAATGCGTTGTAAGAACGAAGAGAAAAGAAAACGACAAAATGATCATAAAAATAAAAATAATTTGATATGTTTTCTTGACGGATGTCAGCAATGCTGTAAGCTATAGCTACTTATTCGTACTTATTTTGTGATCTCTTAAAACCTCCGTTTTCAGGCTTTACAATTTTAGATATATTTTTTTAACATTAATGTGAATTACATGTTTATATTTATCTTGACTTTGTAAGTTTTACCTAATTTCGTAGGAATGTACAAATGCATAACGGCGTGTGACCATAGCCTATATCAATTTTAATATAAATCTTAATCTAAACATGTAAATAATAATAATTTAACTGTTTGCATTGGAAATCTTTTGAGTATTTGCTTAATTTTTTTCCCTTCTTCTTCAAGATGTGTTTATAAAAACAAGCTTAGTGTGTCTCACCCCTGTATTCACTGTCCGAGGACGAATTGCTGTGAAGTTTGTCCATACAGTCTTCAGCATCTTGTGCTGACTGTCCAGTGCTGGAATAAGGAGCACAGGCTGCCAGAGGTTTGCAGTCCGCTAGTATGTCTCTGATCAAGAACGAGGACGTGACTGTTCGCGGTTGCTGGGATATTTGTAAAGGAGAGTCCAGTCCGAGAGCGCGAGCGTGTCTTTGCACCGCGTCTTCCACCGACGTCCGTCTCGGGGAGGGAGGCGACGAACAGCCGCTGTCCAGGTCCGACCGCGGGCTCAACTCCGCTGGAGACCTGCACCCCCCCTTCGACATACACGGACTGGTCGGTCTGTGAGAAAGTATAGACTCGATCCCAAAGCTCGACCCGTTTGATACCTCCATCGCGAGACAAATCGATATCAAATGTGCATTTGTCCTTTCTGACACTGGTTTTGGTGATACAGCGGAAATGTGTAGATTCAAAACAGTTAAATTAGATTAGAATTCTGGCCATTAAAAAAAAAGTCTGCCAAACCTCTTTTGATCCTGTCCAATTTATTATTATTATTATTATTATTAATTTTAGCGATTTTTACCAGATCCTCCTCCTGTTGTTGATTGCAGGTCAGTTTTGTTGAATTTGATCTCGTACAGTCCCTCAAAAACGAATCCGTGAAGTGCGCCGGTCAGTTTCAGCACCAAGGACAGGTACAACTACATAAGAACAACACTATCAGCACTCATTATAAAACTCTTCGTCAGCTTGAAAACTTATCTGGCTTTCTAGAGACAACTACAACCATACTAAGCCCCAAATCCTCTGACCTAAACCCGATGCTGATGTGTAAAATTCTAGTCCAGGTCTGCGAGGACTAAACCTGTGTAACAGTATAAACACAGGCAGTGATCTCTGAAAATGACACCCTCCAGGAAACAGCCAATACCGGAGGTGGAACAAGCTTTAAAAGGTGTCCATTCCGCGTTTGTCCCGAGCGCCACGTCGTTATTGGTTAAAGGATGCTTTTTTTTGGGGGGGTGTGATGATCACGCATGTGTTGTGGGAGGGGGAGAAACATGGTCAACCCTCCCTCTTTTCTTCTATATAAATCGCAGACACGTAATACGTGACATGTGGATCCTGCACAAGGTGGTGAATTTTACATTTACCACTTCACCACAATTTCCTTTTTTCCTCTTTCAGTGCAACACCTAAACCTCAGGGTTTTTAAACTTGTACAGAGACCCCCAGCCGGACTCTAATATCCCAGGGACCAATACAAAATATTAGATTTTTATCGACAACACTTCGGTTTTTATTAGAGCTAAAATCAAATATTCAGAAATGTTTTATACTATATATACAGTATATATATATATATATATATATATATATATATATATAGTGTAGACAAAAACCAGAAGAACAAATTACGTAAATTTTTTTTATTGAGAGATGAATGCCTGATACACAGAGGCGCTGAGATGTAATAATTTTAACTCTGATAATCCACCGTGTAAGTGCCTTGACCCAGAATTCCTCTCCTGCTTGCAGACTCTGAGTGGTGGGTGCTCATGGCTTTCTTCCGGGCTTCAGGATCTCGAAAGGTGTCCAGAGCTGGTCCCACCTACAGAATCCAAAGCAGAGTATCTGATCAATCTTACACTGATTTTCAGCAGACTGGGATGCTGTCTGGGTATGGAGAGACATCATTTTGTTTATTATGTACATAAATTGTAGCAAAAAGAGTGTGCAATCTCATCGGATCTGATGAATCGTCCTAGAGTAGGAATATAGATTGAGGCCTATTGCAGTTCATCAATAAAAACAAAAAGATTTGAATGAGAGAGGAAAGTAACATGGATGGCACTGTTGGAACATGGAAGACTTTCGGTTTTTGATTCACAAAAGTGCAGTCAGAATAGTCAAACAATAAAAAACATATCCCTGTAAAAGGCAGCAGAGACGCTTTGCCCACGTTTTACTTCTGTAGCATCTAAACTGGTACGTAATAATGTATACTGACAGCAATTAAATAATAGAAGTTGTTGGCACAGCACATTTATAATCTGAACAATGGCTCAAAACCGACAGATATGTTAAGAAAAAGATGTATGAAAATTAGGATTTTATATGTTTACTAACCTCCAAAGGTTAGTTTATGTTTATGGCATATTTCTGAACAGTAAAAACACGTTGAAACTTTACCGGCGTGTCACATCACGTTTTAAATATATGTACTTGTTTTTCCTTTTCCTTTTTCTATTCTAAAAAATCTGTTGCCTCCCACAAACACTTTTGACACCTCCAAACCTTTTTGAATTAAATCGGAGGAACACACGTCTCAAGAAGGGTGGAATGAAAGAGATGTAAGGGAAGGTGACAATACAAACAAACAAACAACAGGAATGAAGAAAATGAGTGTAGAATGAAGAAGAGAGTCAAGGATGCAAATGTCGAACCTGGTGCTATCAGGACAGCTACTTGACAGGCTGTAATGAGCAGAGGTAAATCTTTTATAAGGTTAACGCTCCTCTCTCTCTCCATCAGCTGTCATACAAGAGAGAATTTAGCGCAGGCGTGTAACCAAAATAACACTCTCCCTCCCTCATTAGAGCCGACTGAGGGTGGACGATAGGACAGGCAGCTACGGGGTGTGTGTGTGTCTGTGTGTGTGGTTGGGGAGGGGGTTGTAATTTGCAGAGGAAATCCAGATAGAGAGGAAAAATAGGATGGTGGAGTGCATGGAAAGAGTTCAAATAAGAAACATAGCAGCATGGGATATCAGGGTGTGAAAGAGCAAGCTTAAATGTACAGTACAAGCATAATATGCATGTTTAACCATATGCATGTGTTGTGCAAATAAATGTATCCCCATGTTATTGCATTTGAGCTTGTTTTGTGTTCCTATATATGTGTGATAAAAATTTAGTTTGATGAGGTACCCATTGGATCCTAAAATGAAATATTTAGGAGCCAATTTTTTTTTGTTTGTTTGCTATTAAATTTGAATAACAGTCCCTTCTGTGTGATATGATGGTTTAAAAACTGTATTCATGTTTTCCAATTTGATGTTTTACAACAAATATCATTCTCAATAACAAATAATATTTTAAAAGTTTTTTTTTTTGGAACCACATTATTCATTTGTCCAACAAAACTCTGCTGTGAATATATATTTTTATTTCCACACATTGTCAAATTAACGTCAATAAGAAGTCTCACAAACCTAAAGAAAAGTAGTACTTCAACAGCCTCCAGTTCATTTTAAATGGGACCTAACCATGTTCAAGTTTGTAGCCATTTCGTTAATCTTTTTGGCTGATTCATTAAAAAGAACCAATTCACAACCAATTCCTCAACTGGGTTTTAAACCATTTAAATGTTTTTTTTTTTTTTTGCATTTGCATTTGCGTCCATTTTTACTCACGGTCCGGAGCCCTGTGTAAATAGTGGCTACTGGCTAGTACATATGTATTGTGGTGTTCCGTCAGTGCTTGTAAAGGTGTGTTTGGATGTGTGTAAGGGCCATCATTAGCTCAGCATGAGTCTGATTCCTTCATAATTGGAAGCATTGGGGATTGTCAATAGAGAATTTTCATGCACCGCTGACAGGTAGAGCTGGTAGTCTGCTTGTCAACGCAAAAGATCAATAAACACAAAGCACTTTTGATTTACTTGGTGCTTTTGCAGAGGGACAGAGGGACCAAAACTAAAGGGGTTAGTGTACATTTGAACAATCATAAGGGCTTGAGGCAGATATTGTTACTTTCAGCATAGATTTTTCAGCAAGGCATCCTCATACTTCACACTGTCACACACACACACACACGCAGTACACTGATCCTGTCTATCCTTCCAGTGGGAGTCAACTAAACCACTGAATGAAACAACAATGCATATAGTTTTGAATAGTTGCCACAACTAATATATAATTATGTATTATTTAAAAGCACTAGACTAATTAAGTGTGTGGAAGAAAAATTAGCATGGCGACTACAGAGTGAATGTGAAATTGTGGGCACTAGGGGAGTTTTCACCTGCTGGAAACGAGGCATTTTCCACATGGATGGGGCATCAGGCAAGGGGTGACTCTTGCGGAGCAGGGTTGTTCGTGTATCCTGTATACGTCCAAGCTGAGCCTGTGAAGGATTCAATAGACACTTACAGTTTAATCAGCCTTCTCATAGAAGCGAAGGTTAACATTAAAGTCATTTTGTGAGATCTTCAACAGACCTTCTTATGCTGATGGGCCTGTAGGATCTTGTCCTTGGCCTGCTGCTCTTCCAGCCATCTCTGAGCATACTTATACTCAATGAGCTCTGAGATTGGGGTGGATGGTCTAAAGTGGAACAAAACACTTTTCTCAGGTTGCCCACATCTGAATATGCAGAATTCTGGGATTTACACTTGTTTTGGTAGATAAAAGCATAATCAAATTAGACAATATATTTAAAAGAATTGTTCACAAAATGAAAATTCTGCCATCATTTACTCACTCTCGTGTTGTTCCAAATCTGTGTGACTTTCTTTCTTCTTTGGAACATAAAAGAAGACATTTTGAGAAATGTTTCCGTTTTATTAGTCCATACAAAAGAAGTCAACCAAACTGTCTGATTACCAAACATTATTTCAAATATATTCTTTGCGATTCACTAAAGAAAGTAAATCACGCAGGTTTGGAATGACATGAGGGTGAGTAAAATGATCACAAAATTTCCATTGTTAGGTGAACTATCTCTTTATTTAATAGAATATTTTCAAATTTACACTTCTGCAAGTGAATAGGCTATGTTCAGTCAAGGTTTGGCATTGACTGTCTCATTTAATAACAGGCGTGACCCTAAAACAGTCCCGTTCTCACAACAGATTACATGCAGATTATATTTGAGTCGCTACTGTATGAACGAATAATCGATGTGACGCTCCTTAGCCGTGTATCATCTGTAACCATAATGACGTGTGTACCCTATGCCTTTATGCATATTCAATCTGGGCTTTGTGATCAATGGCTCAACATCCCAATGAGTTTAAAAGGCAGCTAAGGGAGCCTCCCAACCCAATCACCCTATCATTGGGTGAGGTTCTGGGTAGTGCAGTGGAATGCCGAGTGCTATTCCCTTTCACTGCCATTCGATCTTGGACTGCCAGGTGTAAAGTTGTGAAAACAGCATTCTTATATCTCAAATCGATATCTCCAGATATATCTCTTGTGTGTATGTGTGTGCTGTATTTAATGTGTGTGTATGGGGATGGTGACATTTTGTGCAAGGATCCTCATTAGGGTTGACCGTGGCATTGGCAAACAGCATTTGATGGATAGAGTGCAGGACCAAACAAGTCCCTGTGGACGCCCGATCTTACCTCTCATTGCTCCAGACCGCCTTCCTCCTGACTGGCTCTTGAAACACACTCACCCAGCACTTCTTACACTAGATGTATCAAC